GGTTGATTTTAAGTTTTATACAAGCAAGTTCTTTGAATGCTGAAATTATCTGCAGAGGTGATATCAACTGGATTCAATTATTTGTGGTCTTGAGATTCATAGAGTAAGACCTCAATCTTGCCATGAGAACCAGATAGGCAGATCCTTGAGCCACTGAGGAGCCCCCGCAGATTTCAGTGGGACTCTACAAGGATGAAAGCGTCTTCCCATACGGATTGGATTGCAGGATCAGGGCCGAAGGCATGGAAATTTCATCACTGGCATTAATAGCAGCTGAATCAGGCATTATACAAAGTTCATCAGTGATTTCTAGTTTATATCTATAAAATGATGGCTTTGTTTTTTGTGTGGCCTTTGTGACTTTGGAGCCAGCTGTTTTGTTAAAAGCATTCTGCTCACTGCTTGCTCTCCAGTGAACTAGCAGAGGGGTGTAAACACAGGCAAAGTAGGGCAGAGAGCAGACATTCATGCAGTTTCCACTTTGGCTCCTCAACCTTCCTCGATACACTTAGAATCCAAAGCCCTTCTAGAGCAACTCCATGTCATTTGTGAAGTCCCATTTTGGGTGCTGTGGTAGAGGGAGGAGCCTCCTCCCTCTCTTTCTCCTTCTCCCCTCAACATCTGATGAATTTTCAGTAGAAAACTCCTGTCAACCTCCTCCCTCCCCCTTAGCATCGCTCTATAGCTTCCACTCTTTCTCTTGCTGGGGTATTGTACAGCCATGGAGGATTCCACCACTAGTCTGGTTCCTAAAGGAGTCAGGTTTCTGTGGGACAAGAGAGGAGCATGTGACAAGCCTGGGGGTTCCTGAGTCTATGCATTTCTTTCCTTTTTTCCTCTGGGGCTCATGGGCATAGCTTCAACCACACATGGTAGTAAAGGACTCCACTGAAGCAGGGGGATATTATGGAGTTAACTAGCTGAGCAGAACCTCTGAATTTCCATTGGTATTATTTACCTTGTGTAGTTTTACATCCTGTTCCATTAAGTAGACTGTGTCTAGTACCATAAAACTGCCTTAGTTTATTTTTAAGTCTTTGTGAGCTGTGCTGTAGCTACTTTCCTTGTCAGGGCTGGACAAAATATGGTCCGCGGGCCGGATCCAGCCCACGAGAGCCTCGGCCAGCCCTCTGCGGCTCTGCACTCAGAGAAGATGGCTGTGGGACTGCGGAATGCTGAGCACCTGGGGGAGAGGGTCAAAGGTTCTCACATTGCCCCCACCCTCAGTAGCTCCCATTGGCTGGTTTTTGACCAATATCAGCTGCCTGTTTGTAGGACAGGCAGCATGTGAAGTGTCCCTCCCTCCTCATTCCCCTCCCCCCGGCCAGACTCTTCTCCTACACCCATACACCTCTCAGACCCTGCACCCCAATCCTCTTTCCCAGGTTATAACACAACACCCTGCATCCCAAGCCCCTGCCACAGGTCACAACCTAAACCCCTGCACCTCCTACCCCAGGTCATACTCTCTCCCAGACTCTGCACCCCAGTCTGCTATCCTAGGTCACAATTCTCTCCTTCACCCAAACTCCCTCCCAGATCCCACTCCCCAGTCCCTTACCCCAAACTCCCTTCTGCACCCAACTTCCATCCCAGACACCCAGACCTCCTCATTAATATAATGGAAGAGTGCAGCCCTTGACCACTTACCAATTTTTTTGAGTGCCTTCCCCTCCCCCCCTCAAAATTATTGCCCACTCCTGCTTTAAGTTATATTGATACTGAACATATTCAGTTTTGTCTTTGGGAGGTTGCCCATCTTTCCAGGGAAGCCCTGAATTTGTGAGTGGGCGATAAAGTTGGTAATTGCAGCAGCTTCAGGTGATATTTTTTGTTAGCACATGTTCACTTTGCACACAGCTGGTAGAATTTGTCTGTGATGCTGCAATTCATTTTGAATGAGTGGATTTAGGATGGATTCTATATTACGCTCTCATTCTATCCAGGAAAGTATTATTCCTCTCTGATCTTATGTGATATAAAAGATAGTCACATGGAACTGAAATATTTAATTGACTTTGTTTCATGCCTTGAGAACACATTAATAATTGATTCCCTTTATTTATTACTAAAAAGCTTTATTTTGAAATTATACTGATATTCTTTGTGTGGGTATCATCCTACCCATTCATCTCAATATCTGCTACTACGTTTTTTCTTGGTTCCCTTATGAATGCACACAATCCCATGTACTTCTAGAAGCTGGCCCTTCTTGGGCTCTGGTTTATTAAACACAGACAAATATAAGCAGTTCTCCTCATTGGGCAGGAGTGGGGGTTCATATCTGCTCTTTTGAGTGGATTCCTCTCTCTCTCTTTGGAAGGTCTCACAGCCCCCTCTGAGCTTGACAATCAACCTTATGCTTGGCTCAAATAGTCTCTTATGCAGGGTTCTCTGAAGCCCTCCTAGGGTTTGCAGGGGAGCCATCTGCAGACTCCACAGCCAGGCAAAAGGCTCATGGTACAATGGGAAAACCCACACTAAGTCTTCACCAGTTCCCAGGCTAGCCACCTGACCTAAATGAAGAACTTTCTCTCCTCCCAGTTCATTCCCTGACTCACTCTCTCTATCTCTTCTGTGCGTCAAAGACATGAATTATAATTGGTCTTCAGAGATCACATGATTCTCCCAGTATCATGATCTGTGACTACAACTCCCCATTTTAGAGGGTCTTTAATACAGAGTGGGCTGTGCCCACATAACCAGAGACATCTTCTCGGTTACAGTGGGCTTTATATCACAAAGGACAGCTCATAGCAGGCAGTTCTTATCTCTGAATCACATGCTCCGTGTTTTTGCTTATATTAATTTATTTAATTTCTAGCTGCACGCTTTGTCTCTTGATTTCATTGTGTTTGTTTCTAATGAGTCACTCCAGTACCTCATGGTCACAAAGTCAAACAAAGCAGGATGAACATACTATGAAGCTCTCTCAGGGAGCTTTTCCATTGTTATATGTACATTTTATTACCAATCCTGGAGCAACATTTACAGCTTACTCAATGTGGCCTACTATTGGTCTTTTGCTGGAATATCTGGAGGTTTTTCTTAAAGCCCCACTCTCTTGAAGTCATGTAACTATGAAGTCTCACCTTTCATTTTAAAAAAAAAGTAAATTTCTGGACCTCAGTTACAAAGGAAAATCTTGAAAATGTCACTTTAATAGTTCACAAATCCAAAGATAAATAAAAAGAACTCCCCCTCCCCTCAAAAAAATTAAATAAACCTTGTGTTTTTAACCCTGTTCATGATTTTTTGGGGCCTGATGCATGATGTTTGGATACTTGTGTTTGCAATATTGGCACTTCAAGAGGGAGAATGTCTAAACATTACAAGAAAACAAAAAAACAAACAAAACCAGATATTTCAAACATGCACTGACCGAGCTGTAAGGCAACAAGTGGACAGTTTGCTGGTAGACATCTAAGTTGATTTCTCAGGGGAAAAAAAGCTGTGGTCTGTTGGAAACTAGCATTTAATCACTGGTGTCCATATACTGTTCTATATGTATTCCACCATATACTGGTAATATTTCCATGGCAGGTGGGCAGAAAGTCAGGTGCCTGAAAGGTTACAATCTGATAGCAAATGGAGACTATCCCTGAGATAGGTATAACCTATGATTTGGCTTCCCCTCTTGAAGCAATACCTTTCTATACAAATAGCAAACAACAGTAAAAAAAGAATAAAAGTTGGTTATGTACCAACATCATTGGTGTTCTTCGAGATGTGTTGTTTGTGTCCATCCCAAGTTAGGTGTGTGCGCACAGTCATCAGAAGGGTTTTCCCTAACAGGACCTATCGGTCAGCAGTGCAGACCCCTAGAGTTGCATCAGTATGGCAAGGTATGTAACGTAGCCCACTGCCGACCACTTTTCCCTCAGTTCCTTCTTGCTGTAATCACTCTGACAGAAGGGAGGCAGGAGGGTTTTGGAATGGACACAAGTAACACATCTTAAAGAAAAGCAGTTATGAAAGGTGCGTAACCGTCTTTTCTTATTCACGTTATTGTTCATGTGCATTCCAATTTAGGTGACTTCCAAACTCCTATGTGGAAGAGGGGTTGGAGTTCACCAATCTGTTGTCTGCAAAACAGCCCTTCCAATGCAGTGTCATCTCTAGCATGGGTGTTGGATTGCATAATGAAATGTGAACATATAAACAGATGACCAAGGAGTCACTCTACAAATGTCTTGGATCAGGACATGAGCAAGGAAAGCTGTGGACAAGGCCTGTGTCTGGGTTGAGTGGGTGGAAAGCAGAGGGGTAGGGACTTCCATGAGATCATAGCATGTGCAGATACAGGCCATGATCCAAGAGGAAATCCTCAAGCTCCTTCATTCTGTCTGCTACTGCTACAAATAGTTGGGATGATTTCCTGAAGGGATTGGTGCATTCTAGATAAAAGGCTAACACCTGTCTAACATCCAAGGACCTGTCTCTGGGGTGAGGTGAGGCTTTGGGTTGATAACTTGCAAAAAAATGTCCTGGGAAATATGAAAATGGGAGACCACCTTTGGGAGGAACTGGGCCCTGGGTGGGGCCTGAGCTGAACCTTGTCTTTAGAGAACACCCTATAGAGAGGTGCAGACATTAGTACCCTAAGCTCAGAAACAACCAACCAGAAAAAAAGATCTTCATTGACATGTACAGCAGGGACCATGTCACCCTTGGTTCAAAAGGAAGCCCTGTTAACCTTGCCAGCACTAGATGTAGGTCTCATTGTGGTACTGGGTCCTTCACATGCAGGTACACTCTGTCCAGACCCTTAAGGGAACACCCCACTGACTGGTTTACAAACACTGAGCAGCCCTCTGGCCCTGGGTGGAATGCCAAGATTGCAGCCAAATGTACCCATATAGAAGGAATTGCGAACCCCTGCTGTTTTAAACACAGGAAGTAGTCCAAAATTAGGGGGATTGCTGCCTGCAAGGGCTGAGCATTCTTTTGTAGGGACAGGAGAGATAACTTTTTCCATTTTGCCAGGTATGTGGCATGCCTAGAGGACTTCCTGCTGCCAAGAAGAAGATTGTGAACCTCCTTGGAATGCTCCTGCTCTACCGAGTTCAACCACGGAGCCTCCAGTCTGTGAGGTGGAGGACCTGGAGATTGAGATGCAAGAGTTTGCCTTGGTCCTGGGAGAGCAGGTCCAGGACCACTGGTAAAGAGACAAGTGTGTCCACTGACATGTCCAGCAGCAGCATGTACCAGTACTGCCTGAGCCACAAAGGTGCTATTAAAATCCACTCTGTCCTGGCGAATTTTGAGCAGCACCTTGTCAATCAAGGGAAAAGGGGGAAATGTGTACAGAAGGCTGGGTCCCCAGTAGATTAGAAACGTGTCTGCTAATGATCCCCAGCTGAGATAGAGGTAGGAACAAAAGGTGCAACATTTCCTGTTTTGTTGCATGGCAAACAGGTCCAGTCAGGGACTTCTCTGCCTCTGGAACACCTCACTTGCTATATCCTACTAAAGGGATCTGTTGTGACACAGGAAGGACCAACTGAGGCTATCTGCTAGAATGTTTTATGCCCCCAGCATATAGGATGGTATCAGGTGTATTCCATTCCGGATACAGAGCTCCCACAGCCTGACTGCCTCCTGACACAGGGAAGAGGAGCGAGCGCCAGCCAGTTTGTTTATATAAAACATCGCTGTGGTGTTGTCTGTTCGCACCGAAACACAGTTGTTGCAAAGTTCCCCCCCAAGCCTTCGCAGGCTGACCACCCTTAGCTCTTTGATTTTGTTATGCAGGGGAATCTCTGCCTGTGACCACAGTCCCTGTGTTCTCAGCTTGCCCAGCTGGGTCACTCAGCCAAGGGCTGAGGTGTCCATAATTAATATTAAGGTTGGGCGGGGCACACGGGAACCCCCTTACATACATTGAGAGGGTCTAACCACCGTTGGAGAGAATCCAGCACCAGTAGTGATAAAGCAGTCCAAGGAAAGACGGTTTGGCTTGTACACCTGGACCAACCACACCTGCAGGGGCCTGAGGTGCAGTCTGGCAAACCGTACCACATACATGCACGCTGACATGTGCCCCACCAATCTGAGGCAAGTCACAACTGTTGTGGCTGGGAATGTGAGCAGGCTCTGGATCAGCTCACACAGGCTCACGAAGCAGGGTGGCGGGAGAAATACCCTGGCTGCAATTGAGTCTATGTGAGCCCTTATAAATTCCATCCCAGAGATAGAGTCAAAATGGACTTCTGAACATTTGTCACGAAGCCCACGTGCAGAAATGTCTGCTGCCCAAAGTCCATGTGTCTCCTCTCTATGTGGCCTCTCAATGGTCCCTTCATGAGCCAGTCATGCAGGGATGGGTAAATCTGGATGCTGTTGTGGCGAAGGAACACAGTCATCACCACCATGTACATTGTGAATCCCCTGGGTGCCTCTGTTAGGCCAAATGGCAGAACTGCAAACTAGTAATGGGATGAGCCCAGAACAAAATGGAGAAACCTTCTGTGGGTGGGGTTTATGGACACATGGAAGTATGCATCCTTCAAACTGAGGGCAGCGTACCGGTTGCCTGGATCCAAAGAGGGGATAATGGTGGCCAGAGAGACCATACAAAACTTTAGCTTTTTTAGGTATTGGTTTAGGCCCCACAGGTCCAGGATGGGATGCTGTGACGAGGCAGCCGGTCTCATCCCGCTGCCCTACACTGTCAGGAGCGGCAGGGGAGCTGTGGGGGAGCCCGAGACCGCTCCGCCCGCTGCGGATACGGCCGTGGCGGTGGGGCCGCAGCCCAGACCGGCGCACTTAGATGACGTCACCCGTGACGTCACCCCGGGACTCCCGGGGAGCCGGGTGACGCAGCCGGGGGCGGAGCCTAGAGGGGACGTGGAATGGCGGCCCTTTCAAAAGGGCAGGGGCCAGGAGTCGGGGGGAGAACCGGAGGAGCCGAAAACCCCTGTGGAGGCTCGGAGGCGGCAGCGTGCGGTGAGTCTCTCGCCGCGATGGGGGGTTGACTGACCCGAACCGGGGAGAGAAGGCCCAGGGCAGGGCCGCGGACCCCATGAATGGAGGGTTAAGGGGTCTCAACCCCCTCCATTGGCAAGGGAGAGCTTCCCCTGCCTTAGGGCCCTGGGCTGGGACTCAGAGAGAGGGAGGGCCCGAGTCCCCTCCCCGGGCCCTCCCGTGCAACCCACCTTGCGACTGGCCCCGGCCGCTATACCAAAAGGCGGGTCAGTGATCCCTCAGTACGAGGGGACTTTATTGCCCCCCCCCCGAACTTGGGCGGGGTGCAAGAGACCAGTCCATTACAGATGCAACCACATGTTGGTCTTTGGAATAAGTAACAGGAATCAAACCATGTGTCCCTAAATACTTGTGCAACCTCCTCCACTTCTCCTAGTTGGAGGAGCATTTGTATGTTCTGATGAAGGAGCTGCTCGTGAGAGAGATCCCTGAAGATGAACAAGGGAAGAGAGTGGGGAGGAAGAGTAGAGGAGAACTGGAGGGAATATTCCACTTGCACCATGCCTAGCACCTATTTGTCGGTAGTTATCTGGACCTAAGCACAGTAAAAATGGGGCAAGCAGTGCCCAAGAACTGGATCTGTGGTAGTGACTGGAACATCACCCTCGAGCGCATCTTCAAAAGTTCTTCCTAAGCCCTGAAGACAACAACTCTGACTGCCCACAGTTATTGACCCCATTGCTATTGTTCACACTAGGAGGCCACCCACGGTTTCTGCGATTGCCCCTTCTACTAACATCCTGCCTCTGATGAGGCAGATAGTAATGCCGTGGGGGTGGAAGTTTAAAATGTTTGCATTGGATTGATGTGTGCAGGCCCACAGATATTAATGTGGCCCTAGTTTTCTTAAGGCTGTGGAGCCTGGAGTCTGTCTGCACCACTAAAAGACCTGATCCATCAAACAGCAGGTCTAGAATAGTTTGCTGGAACTCAGCAAACTAAAGCCAGAAGTTACGCCCATTGATATGGAATGGGCTGCCAGATCTGCTGCGTCTAGGACTGCTTATAGGGAGGTTTTTTAGATTACCTCCCCCTCCTCCAAACTTGGACCTGGACTCAGAAGGCAGGAGCTCTTTAAAATTCCCCATGGCCGCCCATGCATTTTAATTATACCAGCTCAGAACTGCCTGCTGCATAAAAATTTTTAGCTGCAGGCCACTGATGAGTAGACCTTTCTGCCCAGGAGGTCCAATTCTTTAAGAGTCCGTCACTTTAGGAGTTGTCCCCTGCTAGCCCTGTCTCTCCTTGGCATTCGCTGCGTCCACCACCAGTGTGCCCGGTTGCAGGTGTATATACAGATATTCTGAACCCCTGGGAAGGGGCAAAATATCTGGTTTTTACCCCGTTGGCTATGGGGGAGGGAGGGAATGGAAACTGAGATCTGTCAAAGAAATTTCATAGTTGAGGAAATCATTTTGATAAAGGGCAGGGCCACCGTGGAGGGGCCTCCAGGTGACAAAATGTCCACCATAGGATCCACATCTTCTACCACATCCTCACCCTGCAAGCCAACATTCTGGGCCAAACACTTAAGCAACTCCTGATGGGCCCTACTATCCACAGGTAGTAGGAATATTGTCAATCTTGCCACTGCCTCATCCGGAGAAGATGAAGAGAAGGGGCCAGGGAGCTCAACCATGTCTTGCTCCACCTTTGGTGATCAAGACCGGAAGAACTTGCCCTTGGTCACTGGTACTAGTTTACTGGCTCATCTCAGCTACACGGTGTGGAATAGTTCTGCTCACTTGGTGCCACTGGTCAGAGCTGGACCGTTCAAGGACAGGGCTTGGATCTGGTGACCGCAGTGCCAGTTGGGACTGCAAAGAAGATCCATACAGCTGAGTAGCTATCATCTGCAAGGCAGACATGGTCAGCTATGAAGATGGAGGCTGCTCTGCACCCCTAGTTGGGTCTCTTCCTAGGGAAGCAGAAAGGGTGCCCCTATTGGCAGATACCACTGACACCAACCTGGAGCCCCCTGCCTAGGACTGATGATAAGTCCAAGGAATGCAAAAAGTCCACTGTGGAGGGGCTTGCCACTGAGGTGGCCAGAATATCAGGACTTCCTGCCTTTTCCCCATTCTGTGGTGTGCTGAAGGATGGTGACTCCTTCATGGTTGGTACAACTCCGGCTCAGACTCTGAAGTCGAAGCCAAGCAGGAGGAGCAGGGCAGTGCTGTACTAGGCGGTGCTGGAGAGCACTGTGCTGGTGTCAAGTCTCTAGGATGGCCTCCATGCAGTGAGCTGTCCTGGGAATGGTGCTGAGGCAATCTGTGCCAAGGAGACAGGTGCTGTGTCAGTGGTAATGGCGGCTACTGCATCGTAGCCAGTTTTCAATGGGACTTATTGGACTTAGTATCGGAGACTGTGCTGACTGCTGCCCTGGGGGACCTCTTGGGGAGGTCAAGTGACATGAAGTCAACTCTCTAAGGTCTCTCGCTGCCTCATAGGTTTTGGGGGTGGACAGCATGTCCACATCCTCTATCTAGTTCTCCCTGGATGGGGAGTCCACCGTACTTATCGCTGTTCAACTCTAGAGGGCACCCCAACATGAGACACCCCCTTTCAACTTCATCACCTTTGGAGTGGGAAATCTTCCCCTGTCCGGGTGCTTCTGGCACTTGCGTGATACTGGAGAATATGAACGGTGCCGGGCCTTGTGCCTTCAGTGCCAAGGAATGGCGGTGCCGCAGAGTCTTCTGAGAGACATTGCAAGGAGTCGCCATACTCCACACCAACAATGACGCACTTCACACCCAGATCATCTACTTCGATCCCAAGGCCTGGGGCACCAATTGGGGGTGTAGGCAGGTTTCCATAAGCAGTTCTCTAAGGGTATGTCTACACTACCCCGCTAGTTCGAACTAGCGGGGGGAATGTAGTCATCCGCACTTGCAAATGAAGCCCGGGAAATTCAAATCCCAGGCTTCATTTGCAAGTGCGGATGACTACATTCCCCCCGCTAGTTCGAACTAGCGGGGGGAATGTAGTCATCCGCACTTGCAAATGAAGCCCGGGATTTGAATTTCCCGGGTTTCATTTGCATGAAGCCGGCCAGCGCCATTTTTAAATGCCGGCTAGTTCGAACCCCGTGCCACGGCACGGGGTAGATAGTTCGGATTAGGCTTCCTAATCCGAGGCGTACAGCTAGTTCAGATTAGAAGCCTAATCCAAACTAGCTACTCCGTGCCGCGCGGCTACACGCGGCACGGGGGTCGAACTAGCCGGCATTTAAAAATGGCG